TTCATCAACTTCATTTTTACCATCTTAGTGAAATGTAGATATTTTGTCAAATAAATTTGGGAATTATAAATAACTCTCCTGAATTATTACACCAGCCACTTAAATTTCTAGTTGACTACGAATACTGAAAAAACCTTGAATGTAATCTAATCTCATGCAGACTGAATGCGAAACAGAACACCGTGCCAATTATCGTCTCGTTTCACTGACCCAATGAATCTGGTGTATCTACTTGGTTACCCGACGTTTCCTGGATCGTTTCACTCATGTCCATTTTACTTTCACTCTTTGGTGCTCGGTAAAGAGAGACGAAGAGAAACGTGTGTTGCAGCGTGTACCGGCGCACTTTTAACATGGTCATTCAATACCATACAAATAATTATATCCATTGGATTATAGTCGTGAAGTCTCGTATGTACTTCGGAGAAGGTAATGTACCCAACCTACTACTGGGTTCATTTTCCTCTACAATGAATACGGAGGGGGACACATGATTCCGGGGATTTCAAGGGGTTACTATCGCAGTTAGAATTTTCAAAGAATCAATCTTTTTTTTGCCTTTTTGAAATTTTCGTAATATACATGTACTTTAGTATATTCTGTAAAAATTTCAATCCGATTTTATTAATATTTTTGGGGATATATCCATGTGTAAACTTCACAGCATTCGAAAAAATACAACTATGAAGATGGAGAAAGAGGAGAAATATTTTTAATCGACAATTAATGTTTTCTATTGTCGACAACGTCAATTCGACCTATTAAAATCTACAGAGAATCCATCTTATGGGCCCCGGATAGAGGAAACTGTATGGAAGGTGGAAATAAAAATTAATTCTGTGTGAATTTCTTCTGACATTTTGAACACGTTATTTTTCGTAAAACAGTATCGTTGAAATCGGTAAACTATTTCTCAAAAACGGCGCAACTCATCGATCTCAAATTTTACGAAATTTTATTTTATTTTCTCCAAAGATAATCATTTCCATTATTTTTAACAATTATTTATGAATACATTGGTCATTAATGCAAACCTTTTCATTACATTATATTTTTTTTTTTATAAATACTCAGGTAATTTATGGTTCAGGTCCACCAAAAACAATAATCATTGAAATTATAATTTCTCTAATGAAAAAGCCATTCTTATCCTCTCAGTGAACAGCAAATAAAACGAACAACAGTCCTAGGGTAAATTCTGGTGTTCCTAAAATTCCCTAACCCCCCCCCCCCCCCCCCCCCCCCCCCCCCCCCCCCCCCCCCTCTGTTGACCTGTTGAGAAAAATTAGTCGCCGTGTTCAGTCGGTGATTGTAGGTGTTTGGGTCAGGTAAATTCAGAGTCTCGTATATGCACTCAAGATAATTTAAGACAATTTATCTTTCTGGATGTCCATTGGGTATCAACATGTGGTGTCTTTGGGGCTGACACATCGCCACGTCCTCGTTAGGGTCCTGAATAAATGAGACGTGGATTGACTGTCATATCTCCTACACTAATTGATTCCTCATAAAAAGGTGACTAGATCCTTAATCAGGTGATGGAAACCCATACAAGTCGATATAGAATAATTAGAATGGGGCGATGGACATGAACATTTATCGTTTTTTTGTCGAACATTTATATCTTAACTATTTTCCTGATTAACCGTAAGATTTATTCATTTATAACGATTTGAGGTGTTTTTGCTTCGGAATTTTTTCGGAAGCATTTAAAATTGTGATCTATCAAAATGAAGGAGGTCTTTTTTTATGTTTTGTCAAAATATGTTTCAAAAAGTCTAGAGATATAATTTTTAGTCTATATGGCGTGTATGGGTAACAAATTTATCAGACTTTATCTCCGATTGGATATTCATTCGTGAAACTCAATAATTTTTTTTCTCATATGTAAGTATTTCAACAATACTTACATATGAGGAAAAAATTATTGAGTTCCTAACTTATCCTACTCGTCAATATTGACTCTAATTCAAATAATTCATAAATATTTTCAATTGTTATGTTCTTTAGAAATCAGTTTTTCACGATCACTGAAGACAAAATTGTATCAAAGAATTCAATGGTGATTTGAAAAATTTATTCTGATATCTTCTGGGCCCGTCACCGGATATTCGACTTCGATTATGACCGCGATTAGAATCTCGAATGGTAGTTTCGATATGCTGCACTTTTAGTACTATAAATCAGGCGATATTTTCTATATTATTTATATATTTATATATGTGACATAATTTTTTAATGATCACTCGGAAGTGTATAACTAATTTGTTAGCGAAAAAAAATAACTATACTATATGTAACGGAGACCACTTCCCCAATTGTTAAATTTGGAAAACCCACGCCAAAAATATCTTACCCAGCACCAAACCCCATTTTCTAAATTTATAAATTACACAATCAAAGTGCCATTAATAACCTAAAAGTAGTCGCTATCTGAATAATTATCGATTGTATTTATTTAATGGAATTTATTTGTCATTCATGTAAATTGAGTTGCACTTTCGGGGTATTGCGGATCGGAAGATGCGGCTCTTACAGACCACAGCTTGAAATCAGATATTTCGTCACTAGGTCGTTAAGAACTTTTTTGGTGATTGTGCGTTAACAGTTCCCGGCGAAGACGAAAAACAAATTTATCGTTGAAAAAAGTTAATTGAAATAAATTGAAGAAAGTATCTAATAAAAGTTGTCTTTTTCAATAGCCCACCCCCTCCCACACACACACGCACGCCCATGAATTTCGTCTCCCTATAGACCACCGCCCTCTCGTAATCCGGCCCACCTCGTCACATATGGGGCATTCTCCGAAAAAATAAACACAATTTGAATTTTTCTATATTTTTCCTAGTTTTTTTTGGTAATAAAACACAGAGAGAAATTACGGAACTTTTTTTAGTAAAAATGACGGAAAAATTACGGGGAAAAATTACGTAACAGTTCCGTAAAACTTCCTACAGTCACATTTCGTCCTGGAATTACGGAAAAGACGAGTAATTTTTATTGAATATATCTCTGTCCGTGTAGGTAATGAAAGAAGCATTCATGAATTTAAAAAATTTTTACACTAACCGTTTCGAAATATAAATAGAAAAATTTTTTTTCATCCATAACTACTCTAAAAATTGACCAAACTAACGAGATTAGATAGAGCGAAGTGTAGTATTGATCCAGAAATTGGGAATTTGGAAATGAGGAAATTCAGAGTAATCATTAAGAATTTTCTGCACGTATAGTCAAAACAAAAGTTTATGACCCTTTCTATAATTCGTTATATTTATCACAATTAATTTTCAATTAATATTTTAATGCGTTACTTAATTAAAGTAAGTAACTGGTTTTTGCTTCTATGAATAATATTTATATTGCTTAAACAAATTAATGAAAAAAATGTCAAAATTTCTGGAAAAAATCAAACTTTTTTCGAGAATTAAAAAAAAAGTGTTGCCCGACCAAAATCGTAGAATTTCTTCTTAAAAATGGAAAATCATGACTCTAAAAATGACTAATATTCTAGCAGTATTTTTTTAAATAAAAATTTCGTTAAAAATTGAAATAAAAAAAATCCATTTGGTTAATTTTTCGAAAAGTTGGGAATTGGAAGAAAAAAATTTTTTAAATTCATATTCCGAGGACCATTAGAGTAAAAAATTTTTTAAAAATCATAAATGCTTCTCTCATTACCGACTATTACCCAAAAAAATGAGTATAAATTTCGTTGAGAAGTTACTGGAAATTCTCTGATAAATATTTCGAAGGTGAAATAAATCTCGGAAACATGACAAGAGTGGCTGACTCGTCACTTGAAAAATCAAGGTATCATCGCACCAGTGGTTGCACACAAGGGGCGTATCTACGTGTGACGATG